AAAGCACGGGGAATCCAAGGCTGGCTATCCTGAAGTCTAAAAAAACCACTAAGGACTTTATCTTGTCTTCCACATCTGAGATCAGAAAAATGTTCTATGCTGGCCAAAGACATGTCACAGGTAGCCTTTGACTTACAACCATAACTGAGCCCAAAATTTCAGCCGTTAAGAAAGATAGTTGCTAGGTGAGTCATGCCCGGTTTTACAACCTTTTTACCATGTTGTTAAGTACAGTTAAGAGAATTGTGCCATCATTAAGTGAGTCTGGCTTCTCCCATCAACTTTGCTTGTCAGAAGGTCCCTAGGAAGGTTGCAAATGACAATCCCAGGACCTCAAGATGCCACAGCCATCGTAAATATACACCACTTGCCAAGTACCCAAAGTTTGATCACGTGACTGTGGGGATGCCTCAAAAGTCATAAGTGTAAAAACTGGTCATAAGCAGGGGTGGGCTGCTGGGGTTCAGGAGAACCTCTAGCTAAGATTCTGTGCAGTTCGGAGAACCCCCAAATCTAACTCCTGAACACACACACACACACACACCGCCGTGGTGCAGGAGGCTGACTAGGCAAATGCTTGTAAGTCCAGGAGTGTCAGTGTGTAAAATAAATTCAAGCAAGTTCTCTTTCTATGTCTATTATGTTTAACCATTTTATTCCATCCTAACTTGCTTTTTATATGTCCTAAAGAGGTTGCTTTATTTTCAGAGCCATGTTTGGCTCCACTCCATTTAAAAAAACAACAACATATTGCATATTGCATTCACCACTGTAGTTAAAGTAAAGCAAGATGGCTTTTATTTGACTTGTTAGATACAACAGAAAAAGAGGGAAGGGGGCCAACATATCAAGGACTTTCATCAGCGTTTTCATGTATTGCGAAGTTTTTACCATTTTGAGGACATTATCAGGTTAATACAGGTAGTCCTTGATTTACAACAGTTTATTTAGGGACCGTTCAAAATTAGAACTGCACTGAAAAAAGTTATTTATTACCGTTTTCCACAGCAGCCCCATGATCATGTGATCAAAATTCAGATGCTTGGCAACTGGTTCATACTTACATCTGTTGTGTCCCAAGGTCATGTGATCACCTTTTGTGACCTTCTGACAAGCTAAATCAATGGGGAAGCCAGATTCATTTAACAGCCAGGTTACTAACTTATCCACTGCAGCGATTCACTTCATAACAACTTTTGCAAGAAAGATTGTAAAACGGGGAAAAACTCACTTAACAAAGGTTTCACTTAAAAACAGAAATTTTGTGCTTAATTGTGGTCCCAAGTTGAGGACTACCTGTACACTTTTTTGCTCCAGTTCAAAAATATGGGAATGTGAATTTCCATGTATATGTACATGGCATATGTAGTTAGGTAGAGTTTGCTTGCTTTGCTTTATTTTTCTACCTTTTAATTTACAGCTTGAAGGACCTTGTTCCCCAGGAGGCTGTCTGGACATTAAAATAATTGCAGAGAAATCTGATGGCTGCCTTTTAATTGTTGACTGCCTAACACCTGTCTGCCCTGCTCTCTCTCTATATTCTCACTTAGAGTACTTTTATTACAGAGAGTCAGTTAAGCACACTTTATATAGGAGGGATTACGTACAGCTTCCCAACAGTTTTTTTCGGTTTTGGGCTTGGAACATTGAAATGGGTAACAATTCAACCCATATAAGAATATGCATATTGGGGAATGTTGCTGTCTGAGATGAAAACTAATATTATTTCACCCAGAAACGTACACATTTTTCCTTTTTCAAAGTATAGCCTTTGGATATTCCTTAATTTTATGACATTTTCAAGATTTCTTTCTTTTTACTGCAATGCCAAAATGGCTCTGATTCCCGTTGTACATAATTATAAACAGTACAATATTTGTATCATCACTTCTACAACTTTTATTGTGCTATGAATGTGCCTTATTGTATTATATTATAACAATATTTTTAAACTTGACAACTTTAATGTGTGTGAACTTCCAACTCCCCAAAATCCCCAGCCATTCATGCTGGCTAGAGAATTCTGGGAGTTGACATTCACAAACCTTAAAGTTGCAGAGTTTGGAAAACACTGAACTGGGATTTGTGCTGAATTCATTTCCTGATGCTTGAAAAACTAAACTACGTGCTTTGAAAAGGATATTGAGATCTCCAGCTGATTGTTTCAAGGATAGCTTGATATTGTCTTCTTGACAGCAATGCGGAAGTGGTTTGCTCTTGCCTTCTTGGTTTTTATTTTTACTTCCCACTTTAGTCTTTATCCCAGACATTTCCTGTTGGTGTTTGTGTATGAATGTGTGTGCATATATATGCACACTCATATACACATTATCCCATTCTTGAGAGTCTTATTATATTATTTATTTAATCCAATTCTGGCACCACCCATTTCCCTCACAGAGCAACTGTGGGTGCAAATAAAATATTAAAACATAACATGTTAAATAAAATTTAAAAAGAGGCAAGGGCAATTGAAATCCCACGTTAAAAATTAATTAAAAGGGAGAGGGAAGGCTTTCGGGGTGTTAACCAGCCCCACTACTGTGTACTCCTCTAGGTATCCCAAGCAAGGCTACAGAGCCATGTTTTCACCCCTTTGTTTACATTTTAATAGATTTTATACTTCTACAGCTTCACACAAGGGCCATCTCTCACTCTGGGACTGGTTTTCTTGTTTGTGTTTTGTTTCTTCCACCAACTCTCTCTCCATCCAGTCTCTGGGCAAGACCTGAGCGGACAGATGAGAGAATCTGCCTGTAACAATTCATAGTAGAAAATTAAAAAGCAGGAGTTTGGGGAATAGTTCATGGGGCATTCATAATAGAGGGGAGTAAAGAGGCTGGCTGATATGACCATATGCAATACTGGGCTTAGCACAGTGAGGGCGAACCTTTTGGGCACCGAGTGCCCAGACTGGAACGTGTGTGCATGAGTGTGTATGTATGGGCACACGCCAGAGCATCAGTAACCTGAAGATAAGCTGGCTGGCACATGCATGCCTGCTTTTTGGGCAGTTTGGGCCGTTTCCAGGCTATTTTCCAGGCCATTTTTGGCTCAAAAAATGGCTGGAAAACAGCCTGGGAAACAGCCCAGAAAAGGCTCCAAACAGCTCAGAAAACAGCCTGGAAAATGACTTATTTTTTGGCAATTTTTCAGGCCATTTTTAAGCAGTTTTCTGGCACTCTGGCACTTGCAAAGACCAGCTGGCTGGTGTGCATGTATGCACTGGACACCAGAAGAGCAGGTGGTGACGCTGCATGTGCCAACAGAGAGGGCTCTGCATGCCACCACTGGCCCATGTGCCATAGGTTCACCATCATGGGCTTAACACAATGTGCAAACCACTATTCAGAAGACGGGTCTGATCCCTGCACCTTCCTGTTCCTGATCGGCTCTACCAAGCCTCTAAATATCTAGACAAGAAATTGTGCCTCAAGCACAAGCTATAATTTGGTTTTTCTCTCCATTTGTCCCTCTCCAAAAAAAATAAAAAAGCTGCAGAAGTGCTCCATCACTGGAGGTTTTTAAGAAGAGATTAGGCAGTATTTGTCTGAAATGGTATAGTGTCTCCTGCTTGGGATTGGACTAGATCACCAAGGTCTCTTCCAACTCTGTTATTCTATAAGTTCTGTAAGACCAGCCAAGGCAGGGAACCAACTCCAGGAAAGTCCTCCAAGTGCTGTGGAGACTGGTGACTATATTCCAAAGTGGCAAAAGTACAGCTAACAGGGTGTACTAAAGATTTTGAGGTGACTCAGAGGCTTTGCCTGATTGTACCGAAAGACCTTGAGGCAACAAGAGTTATTTCATCCAGAACAGGGCTGCAAACACTACAGTCTTCATTTCCCTAATGACAAGAAGATGCCTGAGAAAAGATTAGCAGAGTCCTTTTTCTCCAAAATAAAGAACTTCTCTGTACTCAAGGATACTCTGGCAATATCTCTGGTTGGTGTTAAGTACCTTCTGTTGTCTCCTGTAAGACAGGATGTCTCCCTTTCCTCCATTACACTCTCCTGCTAATTGTGCATTTTGCCTTGATTTATTTTTATCACCTCTCTCCTCTGCTTCCTGCATTTTCAGTTGGCTTTCCATAGTTTTCACAAATAGTTATAGGAGAGTGAATTGTTCTCAGTTCTTTTCTACAAATTTATTCAAATAAGTTTGTTTGTTGGAGGCAGGGAACTGTGAAGAGTTCTTGAAGGTTTATTTTTAATTTTCATCCTGTACCCCCGTGCCTGTCATTTTTCCCCCTCTGAATACTTGAAAAGTTTGATGAGATATCCTTTGGAGCTGCAGAGATCAGAGGACCTGACATATTTAGTTTAGAGGTGAGAAGTCATTATCATTTCTGCTACTTGAATACTTTTTGATACTTTCATTATCCTCAAGTAGCAAAAAGCACCACAAAGGAGTGGACAGAATTTAATCTTAGCTATTCCATATAACAGAGTTGGATTGAACAGTAGGAGAAATGTGGTAATAAAAGGTGGTGGGTTCTCCCTCATTATTTCTTCAGTTCTCAGTCAGTGCCCATTAAAGGTAAAGGATCCCCTCACACATATGTGCTAGTTGTTCCCGACTCTAGGGGGCAGTGGTCATCTCAATTTCAAAGCCAAAGAGCCAGCATTCTTGGTACTGTGGCAGGCATGACTCAATGCCAAAGGCGCACGGAATGCTGTTACCTTCCCACCAAAGGTGGTTCTTATTTTTCTACTTGCATTTTTACATGCTTTTGAACTGCTAGGTTGGCAGAAGCTGGGACAAGTAAGGGGAGCTCACTAGGGACTCAAACCATTGAACTGCCGGCCTTTCTGATCAACAAGCTCAGCATCTTAGCCACTGAGCCATTAGATAATGTGTCAACCATTCACACTCTGAATTTTGTGAATTGAATTGGATCAACTGTATTTTAAAGCCAGGATCTGACCAATCTCATTATTAAGTCAGGATCCCAATAGTTAAATTTTTCCTTGTATCAGGTTAACAAGAATATTAGAAAAATGAGGTAAAATTTATTTTTAAATGGTTTATTATGCTTGGCATTTAGCAGATTACATTTTTAAATATGTATTTTGTAGACTAACAAATGGCTAATGCCTTGCAAGATTATTTAGGTACTGTATATTGTTTGGTTACTTGTGTGAGTTAATAGGTTCAGCTGTGTTTGTGAAAGAAATGGCATAAAAGAAAGTTATCTTATTTATGAAGAAAATATTATTTCTCAGTTTGAACTACAATTCTTGAGCTGATTTGTGAGGATATACATAGACACAACAGACAAATAGCCAGGCCTTTCTGGACCTCACCACTATAGAGTATAAAGCTTCACCTTCTATGAAGAAAAATTTAGACAAATAAGTTGTCTTTCAAATAAATACTGTGTGCCACCATTGATATTCACATTGAACAACTTTTGATAGCCTTTCAAGGAACTTGTGCATTTACTATGAACACACTATGAAACCTAGTGCTCCAGTCCTTTCCTTATGCCTTTAAAATCATTTAGAAGCCAAGAAAAAAAAGGAGAGAAGAGAGTGAAGCAGATAGGGAAGAAGGGAGAGGGAGGAAAGAAAGAAAGATAGAAAGATAGAAAGAAAGAAAGAAGGAAAGAAGGAAAGAAGGAAAGGAAGAAAGAAGGAAAGAAGGAAAGAAGGAAAGAAGGAAAGAAGGAAAGAAGGAAAGAAGGAAAGAAGGAAAGAAGGAAAGAAGGAAAGAAGGAAAGAATAATTGCCAGTTATATATCTCTCCGTTTTGCTTTCCCTCCCTTCAGGTTTTATCAGTTCAGATCCAATTGCTTTGGCCCACAAATGCAAGGATAGATATATGCCGCTTTGAAGAGTTGCTAGAAGCATTAAGAGAAAAAAAGGAAGCCCATGCCAGTTTCAGCCCTAAGGGACTGCAGGTTTAATGACAGGTTGTTCTTATGGAAGATGTTAGAAGCTGCCAGACCCCCACTGCTTCAGCAATCTTGAGAACAAGCGTAGGTTGCAATGGAGAAGCTAGAGGGAGTTGGGAATTTGTATTCTTTAATTCCCACATGGGAATAACACCCGGCTTTCAAATATCGTCACAGAGCTTAGGATCATTAGTGGACTAACCCTGGCCTGGCCTGTTATAGCTAAGATGAACAAAACATGAAGATAGGTAAAAGAACAACTTCTGTGCCTACTGGGTGGAGCCGCTTTTAAAAACTTTGTCAGAGTTCATTGCAATTATGCAATGATGTTTGTGGCAAATACTAATAAGGTTTCGCTGTTAACAGTAAACAACTCTGGATATGCAGCATAGACATCAGCTCCCAGAACACTTCTGAGGTGGTAAAAAGCAGAAAGGACAGCTAAACATGTAGACTTCTTGCTTTTCAATTGTTTGTTTGTTTTCAAAAGTTACTTTCCTATACTGTAGAGACACAAGGACATCATGTTTAACAGTGTATGCATTTGTTTGTGTTAGCTAAACATACAGATACTGAAGAGCCATTTGCCAAATTGGGATGACTGCAGCTCAGACCTGGTTCTGTGTTTTGATTCTTAAAGCCCTCCTAACCAACCTGAGGCACTATATCAATAATAATAATAGCTAGGAAGCAGCTGCATTAATCCTGGTCTTCTGTGTTTAAATATTTGGCTAGCTTAATATGCTCTATTGTTTGACTGCCACCTTTCTATCTGACTGGGTGTTAACAACACTGCCCCATATGTAGAAGAGTAGCCAAATTTGAAATTGCATGACTTTTCTGGTGCCTTCTCAGGGGCCATGGTGGCTGGAGTTGATAGAAACTATCGTCTTAAAACATCAGATTATGAAAGGATGATCCAGAGTTTCATAATGCCTCCAGAGCCTACTTAGATCACAGGCACAATGGCATCCACTCTCGGTTATTGGTTCAGCACATCAACACAGATGGGAGTGTGGAACTGCAGGACCTGGAAAAACTGGCTCATGTTTGCTTTCAAATGGAATATATACTTTTCCTGCAATCGTTTGTTAAGATGTAGGTGGCCAGACAGAGGCAATACTTCAATGCAGGTTAAAATCATTAGTATAGAGTTGGTCATGTTTTGGCAATGAATCTTCTACAGTATTTGCTCAGTATTTTCAAATATTCCCACTCCAGCATTTGGGATAATATCTGTGCAGCTTCCCACCTTCAAAGTCCTCTCTGGGGAATAGACCAAGACTGATGCTAGTGAATTGAATGGCGTATATCAGTTATTTAGTGATTTTCTCTTTCTCTTCACAGTTCAAGTCTTGGTTGATGGTGCCCCCGTTCGTATCCAGTTGTGGGACACTGCAGGACAGGTGGGTCCTATAAAAGTAAAGAATATTTGCATCTCCAGTTCAAATGCCATACTAAGGACGATATGAGGAAAAAAATGACAATAATTCAGTAAAAAAAATACTCTGACATTCAGTAGCAATCTACAGCATAGTCCTGTCATACTTTACATTAACATAATATATCAGTATTGGAGAGGTGACACATTGTGTTTCCTTCTGGTGAGTTCTTATTTGAAATAACCTTTGAATTGGAAATTCCTGGAGTTGCACAATATGCTAAATGTGTTATGGATGCCATCTTGCATTCCTGGAAGAAAACTGGGTTATAAATCTAACCAACAAACTGATATAACTTTCTTGTTTGTGTGACTTATGGCTTGATAACTGAAATTTATTTATATATTTGCAGCAAAAATTTCTTTTATGAAATATGTCTGGAGGCCCATGACTTTTTAAGGGAAGCATGAGCTCTGAAATATTAATTGGCACAAGAGTTTTGGATTTGATTGTTTACATGATTGAGAAGCCATTTTAATGGGGATTAAAAGTCTCTCACATCTTCAATGGTCTAATTAGTGAATTAACCTATTTTTGAAAACATCATTTATTAACTAAGCCACAGTGGCTATATTTACACATAACACTAGCCATTCTGGGAGACCTTAATATTTTGGGAGCAATGGCCACATCTGGGATTTTGAGAAACTTGTGAATATACTCAGAGAATGGCTACCAGAGGGGATACTTCTGATTACAAACATCCACTTTATAGGAGGCAAAACAGTAAAGTTATTCTGCCATATTTCTCCAGGATATTTTCTAATATCTTAGTTTTATCTTGCTTTTTTCTGGGCACATTCCAAATAGAACAGTTTTATTTTCTAAGAATGCCTCTGGAGTTTATGAACGGCCCAGCCTAGAAACATTTTGGGAATTTTAAAAACGGTGAATTATTGGAAAAGAAAGTATATATAAAACTGAAGACCATTGGCTTCCTGTGTATTTATTTATTTCAATGATCAAAGTCTCAAAACATAAAATTTGGAGAACAGAAGAAACATCCACAAGAACATTGATGTCCTCACCCAGTCAGGGACACTGGCCATAAACTGTAATGATAGGGTTTACCCAACATGCTGAGACAAAATTTGTTTTGTTTAGTTTTAGCTTAGTGTGTTGTGCGAACTGAACCATTAATTTTATACTTAGCCGCTATTAATTGACTTAATTTTCCTCTTAAAAGCACTTGGGAAAATTCCAATGATTTCTAACCTTTGGATGATTTTGCTGGTTGAAAGTTGGAAAAGTTTGACTTTGGAGCTTTGTGGAAAAAAAAACAGAGATTTCAATGCCTACTAAGTGTAATTAGTATAGTAAATATCTGACACAAATTGATCTCCATGTTTCTTTTCTCTTTATAGGAAGACTTCGATTGCCTCCGCTCTCTCTGTTACTCTGACACAGATGTCTTCCTGGTCTGCTTCAGTGTTGTAAATCCCACCTCCTTCCAAAACATTACAGAAAAATGGATTCCAGAAATAAGAACTCACAATCCCCAAACACCAGTGGTGCTAGTAGGGACACAAGCTGACCTGAGAGATGATGTCAAAGTATTAATCAGCCTGAATCGCTACCATGTAAAACCTGTGCCAAGAACACAAGCAGAAGGCCTGGCTGAAAAAATCCGGGCTCAGACTTATGTAGAGTGCTCTGCTTTGACTCAAAAGAACCTGAAGGAGGTTTTTGACACAGCCATTGTTAGTGCAGTTGAATTCAAAGCCCAGCAGGAAAAGAAAATGACAGCTAAAGGAATCAAAACTCTTTCTAAATGCCGATGGAAGAAATTCTTCTGCTTTGTTTGAAACTGACTCCAGTAAGAAACATTTGTAAGCCAAAGTAGCCTGGAGCTCAAGCTCTTGTTGGATTATGGCGAAACTTACCTGGGAGCCAAAAAGGAGAAGTGTAGCATCAAATGGTCCATGCTACCTTCAGACATCTGGGACGGGATGGTCTGATGCTGATGTACTGAGTCCAGCAGCCAAGTTAATTTATATATACGTATATTTCAGGCAAAATGACCAGTTTTTACAGCTTTTGAAGGCTTGACAGCATATTAATTGAACAAATTAATTAAATCTGGGAGTAGCAACATCAACTTGCCTACAAGACACGAGAGCAGGGAAAGTTGAATGACACTTGATTTAATGTTTCAGTTATAAATTTGAGAGTTATATCTCATTTTCAAGTCATAATAATGAATAGAGGATTAATGCATAAATTTAATGCAAAACCAAAAATTTCACTTCAACCCTCTTAAAAGTGGAAGAAAGTAAAATAAGCCCTCAAGATATAATTGAGGATTAATTCATGTTTGGGGTGAAGAGTGGTTATGTCGCATCCTTAAAATAATATTTCCCAATGAAATTATGTGGGAAAATGCTCAAAAATGACGGTGTAATATAGTGGTATTCTAAGAATATTTGGATTCATATGTGAAAAGCATACTACAAACTGAAATATTGCAGAAAATATGTGGTTATATATGTGCGTATATTTGAGTGTGAAATAATTTCTGAACATTTTCAACAGGAATGCAGTCTGGGATCCACTGAAAAGACTGATGCATGATTTGCTTTGATGTAAACTTTCTGTGTGAACAAACTTTCTCATTCATTTTTAAAGTCACCCTTAGAAAGTATGATTTTAGCATAATCAAAACCTGTTCAAACTAAATTCAAGATTAAAAGTCCAGCAGCTCTGAGTATGCATTCTTTTTCCTCCCTAAATTATGCCTTGTTCAAATATTCTTAGATTTTCCATGCTAGGCAAACCGATACTGTATTGTCTATTTTAATAAGATGCCACCCAGTACCATGCCAATAATTTAGGTGGAAGGAAATTTGCAGTTCTTGTTATATCTTTATATCAGGAATTGGGCCCTAAATCAAATCCCTTTGTATTTCACTGCTAATACTGAAGGCTTAATGTTCCCTCCCTGAAACCTGTAGCAGAATAATCAGGTTTACCAAGTTAGCAATTAATATTTATGTTGTGTAACTATTACAGCTAGATGAAGTTTACATCTGAGATGGAAAGATAACCACACACAAAAAGACTGAATTAAAAGAACAATCTCAAAGGGAACATATGACACCGTATTTTCCAAAATTATAAAGCAGCTTCCCTAACCTGATGTTCTCTGCTGTAGGTTTATTGGGATACAAGGCCCATAAAACTACAACCCAACTATAATGAATGTGTATAATGGGAAAATAGTCCAGGACATCTGAAGAGCATTAAGTGACAAAAAGTGTTCCCTGGATATTGATAATGTTGACTCCAAAGTGCTAGAGAGTTGACCAATTCATGTTTCATTTTTGGCACATGTGCAGCGCAGTCATTGAAGAGGAGAGCAGTATCTACTTCAATGGTCCAAAAAGGAAAGAGAAGATTGCCATCTTTGATGGCATTCAGGTGTGGAAATGTTTGCCATTTTAAATGATTCAAGGCAAATTCTGCTTGAAAGGTTTGAGGAAAATAAAGATAAAATATGAGAGGAAAGCGGAAAATGAAAAAGGGAAGAAGCATGTGACAGAAGAGGGAGAAGTAAGTGATAGCAAGGAGAGAGAGAGATTGAGAGAGGGGGAGAGAGGAAGAAGGTGGAAGGTGGGCAAAGAGAGAAAAGGAAAGCTATGTAGGTATCATTGACAAGGTTAGTACATCATGGATATTAAAGTTGAAACAGCCTTGTTGATCGTACATGTTTTGTACAAATTATTTCCATAACTTGGAATGACATCTGAAGTTGTTTACACATTGGATTCTTTCCTAGGCATCCTATTAATGCACATAGACAGCTGAATCATATTTTAGATCCTCTCCAGATATGAAGACAAATATCAGTCATATTGAGAATCACATCCAACTCAGATACGAATGATCAAATGTGATCATCATCTCTATATCATTTTTTTTTTGCCACAGGTATGTACACTGGGAAGCTGAGCCATAACTACTCCCTTTGTGGTCTACACAGAAATGTATCAATGTCCTAAAAATGTATTGTTGCGGAAACAGACTTTGAGCATTGCTCATTCCATGTTGCATACTCCAGTTCTACTCTATAAAAAGAAAATGTTTACAAGTGGGTCTTTATGCATTTCCAATGGGCATCACAAAAGAGTCCTGGAATAGCCTTAGCTGAGGATCAGACCTCAAAAGTAGTGCCAATTTCGTAGGAATTCATAGGTACCGTCTTATCCCCCTCCCTTTATTCAAAATTCATTAGGGATATTTGGTTGTTGTTGATTCATATTGATGGTACCCAACAAACTTCTTTTAGAGGAAAGAAAGAATGCTTAATCCATGCTATTATTGCCTTAGAGATTGCACATCAATCTTTTTTCTATATCAAATATATTCTATTTGAACATAACTATTGTTTGCATTGTATTATTTTCTTTAGTCTGCTATATAATGCAAATAAATAAATAAAAACCCAAAGAAGACAACTTCAAGCCACAGACTATTGTACTCAGCCATTCATTTAGATATCAGGTGGTATACATTGCATATTTAAAAATCACTTATGATCACCATAAAATTCATTTAAAAAAAAGTCATTACAAATGACACATGATGAATTCTCATTAAAGTTCTAAATATAAGGTAAATTAAATATGACATCATTTCTATTTATGCATACACACAAAATGTTGATGGTATTAGTATACAGAGGTTGCTCAGTAATCAGTATGTTCAAAAATCAACACAAAATTGTGGGTTCAGCAAAGAGAGCAATTAGGACCTCTAAAACAGATTGCCCACTTGACAAGTTCTCAGGATAAGCACTTCCTGAAACCTATGATGTTCCTAGCTTATAAACCTACCACGGAATAGGCACCTACCTAGTTGTGATGAAATAAAAAAAAATTGAAAGCAGAAACTCCGAAAATAAGATCAGACTCAAGCACAGAATTAGATGTGTTATTGTCAATAGATGGTATGTATAGAAATTATTTGTCTGATTGGAATGTAGATGTTTTATGATTCTGACCTTGAACCATTGCTACAATCACCTGCAAGTATTGCAGCTATCTGAAAACAAAAACAAATGGACAGTCCCTAGCTTCTGGCAAGCATCTACATGTTTCAGCATCCAGCAATCCTCTAGTAATCATGGAAAAACACCGCCTGTCTTCCAACGTGTGATGAAATCTGGATATTGTAAGCAGCTCACCATTGCATGAAGTGAAAGTCTGTGTGCAGGTTTTTAAAGTGACAATATAGCATCTGAATAATTACGTGATTTGGGTTACAAAGATATGACAACAAACAAGAACAAAAAATACAGCTCACAAGCTTTTAAAGGGGCAAAAAAAGATCAGGTTACTCACAGATACTATTTATACTTTTTCTCCCAAAAAGACAATGAGAAAATATCTGATAATCAAAACAGTTGATTGAAATAAATTTTGGGAAGTGCTACATAAAATTTGTTGCTCTGTGCCATCTTAATGTCTCTCAAATGTATTGGCATTAGAGCATCTAAATTATCCATACACTGACAATTCCGGAAACTTCAGTCCCATTTATCTAAAAGATACTAACTAATCTAGAGCTCATTTCAGATATGTAAGCAATAGAACATTAATCGACATGGTAGAACTTTATCCATCTAATGTCCTTTGGTTGCATTATATCCTAAAACATTTACTGTCAAAGTAAATGCAAGGTTTGTTTGCAAAACTAATATTTTTCTAGACCTTGATTTTGGATAGCTTCTATCCACATGTTTGCACAACCACACAAATGTAACATATATATTTTAGAGAAGAAGACAACGTGTTGGTCTCTGGATTTTGTTGAATAACTCTCAGAAGCCACCATCTGCCTGGCCAAAAGTGCAGCAGCACAAAAATGATCACAGTTTTAATACTTCATCTTTACAATGAGCATGGATCCATATTACTGTAATGAGAGACAGCTTTTTAAGGTTTTTCTCATCACTGCCATTGAAGAAGTGACCAGGTATGCCAGGAGATCACAGAATGGGCAAAGCCAAATATTTGCTTTTTGGGGTTGTAGGGCTTTTAAAAGACAAATGCTGTGTTAAAGTAGATTTGCCTTTTAAAATGGGAAGGGAGGAAATAGGAAGGAGGCTACATTGTTTTAAGTATAAAATGAAAGGTGCTTCTGAAAAATCTGCAGACTCCCACAAAAATATGTTTGGCTCTGTTTATTCTACTAATGCCACTGCCTCCCCTCCAAACTAATGGCTCTGGTGTATCCAGCTCTGCTCTATAGGATGCTTCAGGGGCCCTAAACCTTGCAAATAATCATAATGAGGATGTTGTGCTTGGTATTTCTTGTTAGCACCACCAGTGATACATAATTTGTGAAGATACCTGTTTCATTAGAGCCAAAAAACTCCAAACCCCCAATTGTAATATTCAACATTTCAAGAGTTACCCTGATTAAATAATATTACCTGGACTGGCACCAAGGCAATTTGGAGGCATTTAGTCAGTTATAAAGAACACTTATTTACAAAATATCAATCTTGCTGGGAAGTTTAATTATACAATCCTATAGCTGATGAAGATTTGTCAGACCATCATGCTATTTCTTTTAAGAGTAAGCAATATCATGCAAAGCATAGAAAATTAAAGAAAACAACAGCAGAAGATAAGAGAAAGGATATTAAATCCAATTTTAACTTAAACTTATCCTAATTTACTATATCTCTGCCTGCCTTTCTATCTTCACATGCAGTTCTTGTTTCCATATGTCAAAATACAGATATCACACATTGCTTTTTGGTTTTAAAATTCTCTGACTTACCTCCTGGAAAATAAATTCCAGCCAGTCACAATTGTCTTGGTCTTCTTCCTTCTCTCAGCCCATTTACTTTTTCTTAATATATATTTGCTTTGCAAATCAGTTCTCTTTTGTTCTTTTTATAAGCTATATAGAATTTTTGAGTTCAGTTTGCATTCATTCTTCACTCATTCTCAATTCATTCTTTTCTTAGCTGTCCCTATTGCAATCAACTTATGATTTTTTTTTCATATACCTCAACTTTTAGTTCTATGTAACAAACTGGGCAAAAGTCTGTTGTCATACACAACTACTTCTTCCTTCAATGAACATTCATTTCTGATAGATCACATAATGTCAATTACTTTTCTACCAGCATATCTTAACATTTCTCTATCCCTTTCCTCCTATTTAATAAATATTATATTAATATTTATCTGCTTGTTTAATTTTTTTGCCAAAAAAAATGCTGCTGGGGGTTCATACGGGTTTGGGTAATCCTCTAGCTAGGATTCTGCCTGGTTTAGCAAACCCTCAAATGCCACCCCTGGCTGGTTCCGCCCACCCCACTCCTCTAGGAGTCTCCACATGGCCCATTCATCATACAAGGTAAGTGCCAGGCCTGTGCGGAGGTCCGGGGAGGGCAATAAATGGACCTACTGGAGGTTCTGGAAGTCCAGAGGTCCAGGAGCCTGGGGCAAGCAGTTTTTGCCCTCCCAGAGGCTCAAAAAACACCACCACCGCCCCATGGTGCAGGAGACCGACTAGACCATGGCCACGGCCACCCAGCAATGGGGCAGAGAACCAATTGCTGTAACTTTTGAAGCCCACCCCTGGTTATATTCACTGCAAATCTCATCCCAATAAAAGGGCAAAATCTCTTACAATCTTTATTACAGACCTAAGTTCTTATAATTTTACATCACATTTCAAATGCTTGATGCATATTCATCGCTCTTAAATAAGGGGTGAAACACATGTAAGTCTAATTTCACTGCTTGGTTTCAAAAGCCTTATACAAGGGATAATTTCAGACTTCTTTACTGGTGTTGGAATTCAAACAGATCCTGGAAAAACATCTGAGTTTGACTAATAATTTTTGATAACTTTATGGATGGGTTAACTGGAAATTCTTTTTTTCTCTTTTAATGTTTTTTTGCACTCCGTTCAAACTTCAATTATTTCTCATATCACCTTAAGCCAAACATTATATTTGAACCATGGAACAAATGTCATACGGTGAGAAATAAGTTTAGATATTTCTAGGGCACTCTCTATACATTTCCACAGATTTATAGTTAACTAGAGATTGCTGTGGTGACATTATCAGTAAGGAAGACAAGTTTTAGGTTGCTACAGTAATGGCTGTACACTGAATCACACTACCACAGCCTTGTAGGCTGCGAACTTTGCTACGATATTCTCTGCCCTCATACATCCAGTTTGAGACTTGATAAATATGGGCAGGTGGAGCTTCTTTCAGGAATGTCCCTCATCCGCTTTCTTTTCTCATT